CCGGCCCGAGGATTAGTTTTTACATCAAACTTATGGTAGTAAGGTCAATAGAGTAGCATGACATTCAGGAGGAGGTGGTTGAAATGTCATTGTTACGTTGGAAACATCTTGGCAACAATATTCTGGGCATGTCTGAGTATAACATTCTGGATGTAATCTGTGAGTGAGCAGATGCATGGTGCATTTCTTTGAACTTTGACTTGCAGCAGGTGGATGAGGATTCTCTTGAATGACGTACTGTGGTCTTCTGTGACGCAGCTCACCACACTTTAGAACCAAGACCAGAAAATCCATGGCTGCGGGCAGGGGTGGTCTATCAAAGTCAAGTTTCTAGTAGTACCTTGCCCTTGTGGTTTAGGATCCAGAACAAAGAGAAGTCAGTGGTTCTGTTGATCTGGTGTCTGAAACTGCACTGGTTCCTGCTGACAGCAGAAGAGGTCTCCAAGGGAATTCTGACCTCCCCCTTTCCACAGTTTTCCAGTGTACACAGCTGCCAAATGCCTATGGAAAATCAGTGCTGATTTACTCCCTCCTAGTTAGCACAGTTCTTAGAGGGGGAGACATACCGCTGCAGTGCTCTCTCGGCAATGTTCTTTCACAGCATAGAGAGCCAGCAGCCCCTGCCCAGAATCTGATTCTTTCTGGCCTGCCTCAGCTTTCCTGAAAACCTGATTGATGAACCTTAACAGCAGAGATAGGGCCAAGGTCATGGGAAATCTGCCATCCTGAAAGCTGCAATGGTATGACACCAGGATTATGCCAAGATAAAGCCCAATGTCAAGGTGAGAGAGCTAATGTGAGAGCTGAAAAGCCTGCAGAGACCCCACATGCCAGGTTCCAGGAAGAAAGTGCCAGTCTTTCGGTTATGATGAGCCTCTGCATGTTTTGGCTGTTACTCTAAATGTGTCTTTCACTTTGATTTAGCCTCAAATAAAAGACAGGTAATTTTGCTTTTGAGACTATCAGATTAGGAAATCCTACCATGTTAATGATCCAGTGAGGCAGACCTAGAAGCTTTCCCCTAAAGCATAATAGCACAGGTGACATTTTGCTGATGTTTAACGGTGAACAAGGCAAAGGGGGATTATGGCTTTCTTCCTTTTCTGGAACCCTCTTCACTGCTATACAGCAAAAAATCATTTTCTCATAGACTTCTCAGAGTGATTTGTTGAAAAGATCGTATAATCTGGGAAACCGTCGGAAGTGTAGGCTAAGGGGGAGAGATTGTGTACAAAGCCTGTGGTGGTGCCCAGATAAAATGGGAAGCCCTCGGTTGTTGAGAGCTTGTTGAGAGAGATTGGCGCATAGGAGTGGAAATTATTCCCCTTAGAATTCCCCAATTTAAAAGTGTTCCGAACGCTTTTTATTCTACAAAGATCTGATTCTCTCCCACTAATTGGTTCTAGGATCCAGGTGACTTTGTTGACTTTATCGAGCTTTCAGCTGCTTGCAGAACTATATCCATGTGCTATAGAGATTTGGAGACCCAGAACTTAAGTATCCGCAAAGAGAGAGGATGCACAGGGAAAATCATGTTTCTCCTAAACATCTTACTTAGATTCCCCTCAAAGCAGAACCTGAGTTAAGGCTTTGACTGGAGGTAGTTTACTTGGGAAGTCATCCTAGGAAGCAGGAGTGAGGAGGTGGGGAGAGTGAGACAGGGAAGGAGGAAAAGCCAATACAAGAGTGCATTTCCGAGGCCACGAGGGCTCAATGCCACCAGAACTGAGAAGCATTCAGAGTACAAATTTCCCCCACTTTTCAAAAGTTCGCTTTACACCATTTTGCTTTTACGAAAAGCCTACATTAGTACCTATTTTTGCTAACCAAAAGCAATCCAAAGAGGATTTTCACTTTTATGAAAATAGTGTTCAGCATTTGTTTTGCTTCGAACCGTCATAGAGGCAGCGCACACTCCAAGCAGCGAGAGTGGCACCACCAAGCTCTTTCCCCGGGACTACACTCAGCATCAAGCCACCATAGCTTTGAACTGTCTGTGAGCATCTCGATTTATTTTGTGCGTTCATTAGCAAGATGTGTCCTAAGGTAACTGCTTCTTCACTTTACACCAGTTCAGCTTATGAAAGAGTTCATAGGAACCCTCTAGTTTTGGATAGCAGGGGAAACCTGTACCTCCTAGAATGCCTGTGTAAGGACAGGTGGCTGGGCCTTGTAGCCACCAGCTCCTGTCCCCGACAAGGCCCTAATGGCATGAACTCCACCACATGTCCAGGCAGTGCTTGTGACATGTAGGCAGGGTCAAATGAGGCCCTGCAGCCAGAAATGGAAAGTCTCCAGGTATGTGCCTTTGGTAGGATGTTGTCTGCAATGACTCTGAGCTTGCTCAGAACTGACCAGTGGGGCGGCAGCTGAAATTAGAGTCCTCAAGCATCTGCTGTGTAAAGGATCAGTGCTATAATAGAAAAAGAACTGGGTGCAATGGAAACACCACCAGGAGGTATCTAATCCAGAGATTGGGAGAAGGGTCCGGGAGGGCTTCCTGGAGGAGGTGGTTTTTTGTTTTTTGTTTTTTTGTGAGGAAGATCAGCCCTCAGCTAACATCCAGTGCCAATCCTCCTCTTTTTGCCGAGGAAGATTGGCCCTGGGCTAACATCCGTGCCCATTTTCCTCTACTTTATATGGGAAGCCGCCACAGCATGGCTTGACAAGTGGTGTGTTGGTGTGCACCCGGGATCCAAACCTGCAAACCCCAGGCCACCGAAGCAGAGCGTGCGCACTTAACCACTGCACCGCCGGGCCGGCCCCGAGGAGGTGGTTTCTCAGCTGAGACAAGACCAGATGAATGGGAGGGAGGCAGGTAGAGGCGAAATGCAGCTTCAGGACTCTATGGTTGGAGCATAGATTGCAAGGGTAGATGTGGCGAGAGAAGCTTAGGAAGAACTTTGCACATTAAGGAGTTTAGACTTTATTGTAAGAGCAATAAGGAGTCAAGGAAGAGACATTTAAGCAGAAAGAATGATAAGCTTTGTGTTTTAGAAAATTTATTCTATTGACAGCATGTAGACTAGATGACAGGATGGAGCAGGTGAGTGAGAGTGGGACAAAACAGAAGTCAGGGAGACCAGTGAAGAGGCTGTTGAATCATCCAGGTGAGAGAATATAATAATAATAACCAGGGCAGTGGCAGTGAGGCAAGTGAGAAGTGAAAAGATTTGAGACGTATTAAGTTTCTGTATCCCTACTCATGCTCTACTCCTGGTAACATACAGTCTGTGTGTGTGTGTGTGTGTGTGTGTGTTTCTGTGTTTGTGTTGATGGAGAGATTGTTGTAGAGATTGAGTTATCTGGAAAATAATTTTTAGAAAATGTGAATTGAAAACTCATAAAGAGCTGTTTAGAAAATTCTTAGGCAAATTGGGAAGTAAAATTACTGTCAGAAAATATCTCAAGTAAGTGCTCACCTTAGAGAAGAGACAGCACAGTATACCACACTGGGAGTCAGAAAGACCTTGCTTTGTCCTCGATCTGCATTTTCTATTAGTTTGGCCTTTGTTGTATCATTTAACCTCTCTGAACTTTATTTGTCCAACTCAAAATGAAAATGATGATACCTGCCCGGCCTATTCTGAGTTGATCTTAAGCTAATAGCATGTTGTGGGATACAACCACAACAGGGAAGCTAACATCCTCTCGACCAACATGAGTGGAATGAGAGTATGGAGGGCAGTTGTTCAGCCCCAAGAGTCTTGTGTTCAGTGTGGACACTGGCCTGTCAGCTCACTCCGGGGCGGAGGTCGTGAGCTGTCCTTCACCAGCATTGTGCTGCAGGGAGGTGGGGTTTCAAAATGGTTAGTAAGACACTAGATCATCTCAAAGGCTCCTCCAACTCTGAGACTCAGTGGTCCTCTTTCACAGGCCATGGTAGAATAAGATGAGAAAATGGTTATGAAAGCACTTGAAGAATTAGCATTCTAGGCAAGTGAAAGGTATTATTATCAATGTTATCAGTAGGCCTTGTGATGTTAGCTCGTAAAGTTTTTAAATGTTTTAATTTTCTTGCATATCCCAGTAAAGCAGAAGATAACTTCCAGTTTCCTACATGCTAGTATATAACTTGTTTTAGTTTCATAAAGAGACCAAAAGCCATGTTCCTTCCATAGTTCCTTCCCCTAATATCACCTTCTTACTAACTAGCTGTATTCTGTTTTTCCTGTTTTATTTCGTACATTTAACATTGACTAGAAGCATTTGACCTGCCAAGACTTGAACTTGGGCATATGGGGTTTCTCCCACAGTCCATGATAGCATCACCAGCAAGTAGGCCACAGGCTGTACATTCCCTGCTTACAGGGTAAGGAATGTTCACCTCCTGGGAAAAACCAGGGCCCTGACTCACTGGAGTTGAAAGGAAACTGATCTTGGAGTCCTTTTAAGATAATTGTGACTTCTTGCTCGTCAGTGTTGGGATCTGGTTCTCTTTCTCTTAAAAGAATTCCCTGGGGCTTTAGTGCACAAACGATGATGGTGATTCAGTATGGCTAACATTTACTGCACCTTTACTCTGTGCCAGGTGCTGTTTTAAGCACTTTACACATAAGATACACTACAGCCCCCTGAGTAAGTATTCACTTTGTAGATTAGGAAACTGAAGCAGATGTGGTTAAGTAACTAGCTTAAAGTTACACAGTTCAAGCTGGAATATGAACCTAGGCATGTGATTCTAAAACCGTGTCTGAATCATGCTGCGCTTCTCCCTCCTTGCAAGCAGAGACGTGTCATACAGAGCATACAGAGGTCTTTAGGATTTCCTCTCCCCGGGTCCTTAGAGCGGTCAGAGATGTTAAACAGGAAAAGTGCATTAGAAAGCTGGCCTACTTACGGTATTCTCCACACCAGACAGGAAGTATCCTAGATATGAACACGGCTGCCATTAAGATAAATAGCTTGAATCTAGGGAGCCCCATGCCAATCAGAAAAACCATTAATCAAGAAATTATAGTTTTTATGTGCTACATGTTTCATGTTTTTGCTTTCCCTAGGTTAAAAAGATCAAGTGGCATGAGCAGCCTTTTGGGGAAAATTGGAGCCAAGAAGCAGAAGATGAGCACCCTAGAGAAGTCCAAATTGGACTGGGAGAGCTTCAAGGAGGAAGAGGGCATTGGTGAAGAACTAGCCATCCATAATCGAGGGAAGGAAGGGTAAGAAGTAATAGATTCCATTCCTCTGAAAATCTTAAGAACTCTGAAATAGTTTATTGCAGACAGCCCACCCAATCTAAGCAAGCAGGAGCTTTTCATGGTGAAACGAAAAGTGTGAGTACTTGGGTTTGTCAGTGAAGCTCTATTCTAATGTGGGGCAGGTCTAGTTGGTGAGAAAAACACTGAGAGTGAGGGGAAGGGAGGGCGTGTGAGCAGCACTTCTCTCAGGGACAGTGATGTCTGCCAAGCTGAATTTGCTGAATTACAGCTCCTGTGAACTGTAAGTCACCTCGTCGATTCACATGGTCAGATCTGGCTCACTGTATCAGCCTTGGCTTGATCTGAATTATTTGGCCTTCTGAGAAACCACGCTAGCTGAATGCTTCAAAAGCAGAGCCAACAGAGTGCTTAGATATTGTCACATTATCATGGGATTCTTTTTGTCCATGTCATTATGGCCAAGGGTGGGGCTTCATCCTTGGCTTCAACCTTTGTGACGTGCCAGCCCTCAGACACCAGCCAGGTCATCACTTGCACCCCCTTCCTTGTCACTTTGGAATATGAGGAGGATGTCCCTAACCTATGTATTCAGGAATATCAAGAAAGAAATGATATTCAGTGAGTACTTAGGAACCTCAGAAGGAGCTAAGGAACAAAGTTACTACAGAAGTAGGTCCGTGGCTCCAGGTCAACACTCCGGCCCCTGAGAGTGAAAGGAAGTGTTACGAGGCCCATCAGACAGCCCTGGGTGCTCATCGTCCCTGCCCCTCGTCTGTAAGGGCTCTCCCTGGAGTACATGGGGTATCTCTGAGGCTTAGCTCCTTCACCTGTAAAATTGGGATAATGATACCACCCTCAGGGTGGTCGTGATGGTCTCATGAGATAATATATGTAATCTATGTATGATACATATATGTAATTACATGAAACCTTCTGCAGAGTGTCTGTTACATAAAGGTGTGCTTTAAGTGGTAGTCATTCAGGTTATTTATAAGCTAAATTATAATAAAGACAGGTGGATTTATTTTGGGGGTCATATTTCTTTTTCTTCTTTTTTTTTTTTTTGTGAGGAAGATCAGCCCTGAGCTAACATCTGTCACCAGTCTTCCTCTTTTTGCTGAGGAAGACTGGCCCTGGGCTAACATCTGTGCCCATCTTTCTCGACTTTATATGGGATGCCGCCACAGCATGGCCTGACAAGCAGTGCATCGGTGCGCGCTCAGGATCCAAACCCCGGGCCACCAGCAGCGGAGCGCACACTTAACCACTAGGCCACGGGGCCGGCCCAGAGGGTCATATTTCTAAATTAGGCTTCAAGATTATTTGAATGAACCTGGAAGCTGAGCAGTATGTTAAAAAAATATTTTTTTTTATGACTGTATCAGCTTATTTAACTACCAGACTTCTAAGTCAGACTGCAAAGATGGAATGCCACAGAACAGGGGTGGAGCCAAAGCCATCTGGGGTAGGCCCAGGATAAAGCACAGGCAGGAGTCAATGGTATTTAGAGAAGGCCCGCGATATTTGCCCCAAACCTCTTTGACTCAGCTCTAATAACTCACAGCTCCCTCTTCTCCACTTTTGCCTAGTGATCTAAGGCAGCAGAGGAACTGCCAGTGTGTGCTACACTTTATTACGTCTCTGAGTATTGATTATATGGGTTGGACAGTGTTCATTCTGCTCAAGTTAATAGAGGGCTTATAAAAATAAGGAGTGGTGCTGTTGAAGATAAGGGAGAGTTAATAAAATGTAGACTGGAAGAGAAAATAAAATTAAAAAGGTCATCTGCCCAGTGAGGACTTTTTCAGGCAATGGAAAATCACATAACTGGGTTGGTGAACAACAAATAGCATTCAGCTTCTAAGCGCTCTGCTTTTCCCTTCTGTGAGACATTCTCCCCGGCCAGGTGATTCCACAGGTCTGGTTGTGTTTTTCCAGTGCAGCTCTGATGACTCTGTGCTCTGCCTTCGGCTCTTTTGACCTGCCCTCTCCAACACCCGCCCCCACACCTCCACTCCCTTGCCTTCCCTGGCTCCTGCAGGCAGATTAAAAGGCCCAGCCCCTAGTCCAGAGAAGGGACTGTAGCTCTGGTTCTTAGTTTGGCTAAACATGAGAATCCTCTGGGGGGTTTTCCAAAGTTGAGGTGACAAAGCTGCCCCTGTACAGAGCTTCTGAATCGAGTGTCACAGATATCTATATCTTTAAATTGCTCCTCAGGTACTTCTGATGCACAGCCAGGGTTGAGAATCACTAGACCACAGCATCAAAATTCTAGAGACGAGAGCAAGACAGCCAGCTGCTGGGTGAGCCTTTCCAGCACATATGTAACTAGAGAGCTGATTTCAAAACAGGGGATGTTGAGAAGGGCAAGAAGATTTCTATTAAGAAGGATGCCCAGTGCCACAGTGTTGAAGGGAGGGAAGCATAAGAACCAAACCGGTAAGGTCTGTTTGGGCAGAGGCAGGTCAGGCCCCCAAATTTTCTTACACACATGCCAGCAAGAGCAAAGGCATCGCTTGCAGAGAGGATACTCTGAGGGAATATGTGGAGAATCCCAAGAAGCATTCCCCTGGGACAAAAGTGATCTTTGCTGAAACTGAAGGGGGAAAGGTTGTACTGATAACGTCTCAGAAAAGCTACCTAAAAGTAATGATTGGCCTCTGCGATGTTTATTATGAGACCATGACCTTTTTACAATCACCCTATTTAAATTGATCCTCATACGTAGAATTTAGGTAAAGAATGGTGATAAAAACATTCCTGTTATGCAGTCCTGATTAAAATAAGATTGGATTGAGGTTAAAAGGTTATGTCATGCTTTCTGTGTTTTGATAGTAATTCCAGTTCAGTAAGTGCTATCATATCTTTCTCCTTGTAAATATTTGATAGAATTCGAAGCTAGATTGGTCAGTATTGGGTTATTATTGTCCAATTTTTTATTTTTTATTTAAATGAAGCTTTCATTTTTATTTATTTTTTTTTGTGAGGAAGATCAGCCCTGAGCTAATATCCGTGCCCATCTTCCCCCACTTTATATGGGATGCTGCCACAGCATGACAGGCTTGACAAGCAGTGCGTCAGTGCATGCCCGGAATCCAAACCTGTGAACCCCGGGCCACAAAAGCAGAGCACGCGCACTTAACCACTTGCGCCACTAGGCCAGCCCCTGTCCAATTTTTTAAAAGGTGATTTTGCTATCTTAAAATATTCACATAAGGAAACAAGGCACCTTGAGAAACAGCAGGCACAGGATCAAATCTGCAAAGAATTTAGATAATGAAAATATCAGATACGGATTTTAAAACAGTTATGCCTACTGTGTTTACAGAAGTAAACAACAAACTTGAAAATATTTGCAGGGAGAGGAAACTATAAAAAGTGACCTAGGAGATTTGAAAAAGACCCAAACAGAATTTCTAGAAATAAAAAATATAATAACCGTAATTACAACGTAAATGGATAGATTTAACAGTAGTTAGGCCAGCTGAAAAGAAAATCTATGAACTGGAAAATAGTCAGACAAAATTATCCAGGAAATAGTTCAGAGAGACAAAAAGACAAAATAATGGAAGAGAAGTTAAGCAGCCTGGAGGACAGAGTGGAAAAAGACAAAAGAAACCTCTTTATAGATTTTTTTTAAACCCAAAGAATGGAAGATAAATGAAATAGAAATCCACACTTAGACATACCAAAGTGAAACTGCAGAAAACCAAAAACAAAGAGAAAAATCTTAAGAGCAGCCAGAAAAAAGAAAGGAGAGGCAATTAGACTGACAGGTGGCCTCATCAGCAATGGCGCAAACCAACAGACACCGGAATGATCTATTCCAAGTGCTGAAATAAACAACTACTTCTGCTTTACATATGTGTGTGTAGATATAGATATGAATGACTGTGTGTGTGTGTGTATCTCCTTCAAGAATGAGGGCAAATATGGACATTTTCAGAATAATAAAAGCTCAGAGTTGCCCCCAGCAGATCTTCACCCAAAGGATGAAGGATATACACTAGTGAAAGAAAAGTGATTCCAGGAGCTGGCCCCATGTCCGAGTGGTTAAAGTTCCACACACTCCACTTTGGCGGCCCAGCTTCATGGGTTCGGATCCCAGGCATGGACCTACACCACTCATCAGCCATGCTGTGGTGGCGACCCACATACAAAATAGAGGAAGATTGGCACAGATGTTATCTCAGGGCTAATCTTCCTCAAGCGAAAAAAGAGGAAGATTGACAACAGATGTTAGCTCAGGACGAATCTTCCCCCCAAAAAAGAAAAATCATTCCAGATGGAAGGTCTAAGACTCATTGAAGAGCAAAGAGGCATATATGTGGTAATTTAAATGAGCATTGACTATATAGTGTTTTGTTGTTTTTTTTTTTTGGTGAGGAAAATCAGCCCTGAGCTAACATCCATGCCAATCCTCCTCTTTTTGCTGAGGAAGACTGGCCCTGGGCTAACATCTGTGCCCATCTTCCTCTACTTTATATGGGACGCCGCCACAGCATGGCCTGACAAGCAGTGCATTGGTGTGCGCCAGGGATCCGAGCCTGGGATCCAAACCCGGGCCGCCAGCCGTGGAGCATGTGCACTTAACCACTACGCCATGGGGCCGGCCCCAGAGCATTGACTATATAAAATAATATATTAATGTCTTGTAAGTTGTTAAAGCAAGATAGTATTAAAATACCTGGCAACAACTACGTAAAAGTTGGGAGGGGGTAAACGGACTTCAGTTTTCCAGAGATTTTGTATTATCCAGGAGGAGGGTAAAGGTGTTGACTAAGTGTACATATTGAAATTTCTAGAGTAGAGACAGAGTATATAATTTCCAAAGTAATGGAAGGAGAAAAATGGAATGATTTTTTTTAATTAACCAAAAGAAAACACAAAAGGAGAATTAAAGAAACCAAACAGGACAAATAATAAGCACAATATAAGATGATAGATTTTAAAACTAAATTTATCAGAACTTCCATTAAATATCAATAAACTAAATGCTC